ATGCTTCAAATTCCATTTATCAGTACCATAATCTTCAAGTATCACACTAAAAGCCAAGACCTATTGCAAAAATTAGCACAACACACACACAGGTGACACTAAGCTTGATGGATGGACATTTCAGCACCACTAGGTTTACGAATTGTCCTTGTTTACACCAAAATTTGGAAAGAAGAACACGGGAACTTGAAGCTTCCAAGATTGTGTCGTCAAGGAATCGATTGCATAAGGATCGATATCAACTGATTCAGATGCAGTACTAGGATTGGCTATATTCGGATGACATTAGCAGATAACATCAATGAGCTACGGTTGGCGTCGGAAAAAAACATGTCGGACTGTAAAAAAGGGAAAGATTAGGGTCTAAGTTATCTTAAGTTACGAATATTTTTCTTATACTAAAGATTGTAATGAGTCGTACTTGAGTAGGATTCATGTTTAGGTTCTGGGTATAAATATTGGACCCCGGCTATTTAAAAAGGATCCCCGAATCAATCAATACCAATTACCTTTTTTGGCTTTACGCCAACCCTTAGGAGTAGGAGTACTGTAGATCTCGACGAGTTCTTCAACAAGCAAGGCTGCATCGATCCGGTCCACCTCTGGCTTGACTGTAAGTACCGTCATGGCTTATACTTTTGTTTGTAAGGCTACATTGGTTCGATCGACCTCTTACGAGCTCTAGTATCACTACTACAAAACAAGGATATTGTAACACTTTCTTGTAACATATTCATCGATGTGTTCCAGTGAAATCTCATAGTAACACAAAATAGCGTGTTACAGACTTCGGTTGTAACACAAAACACCTTTTTTTATAAAAATGTGTTACTGGCAATAATTATAGTAACACAAAATTAATGTTACAAGCAAAATATTACAAAAGTGTACTATTTTGTAACACATAAATGGAACAAATAAAATGTGTTACAAATATATGCCCTCTAATAACACAAAATAATGTTATAGTCTAAATGTTACAAAGAACCATATACATGTGGACCTTCCTATTCATAGGCATCACAGTCATCGCACCTAAGTGTCGTCAAGGCTGTTAGGCAATCACATTGTGATCATCACATGAGAACCAAGTAGCAATGAGTAAGCAATTAAAAAGATAAGTTCGATGCCAGAACCTGTTATCAAAATTTATTAGGCCGAACTCAAGACACTCTAGATGCCAAATCACAAGAACAAGTACAACGAAGAAGGAAAAACTGAAAAATAAAAAAACAAAAATGTGAAAATAAATGTGAGTAATATTGATATTTTTTTATGTTGTTGCATGAACACACTAACCTACCACTGAATAGGTTGATCAAGAATTTCATCTTTTTGGTTCCACACGAATACCGGTCAAATTTACAACATAATGTCATGTAATATGCACAAAACATGAGTGCAAGCATTTTTTGTGGTTTTGAGTCTAACAAAAAGGCTATGCAAAAAACAGTCATGTATGGCATCCACAAAAAGTTAAATCAAATAAGTAATCACTCAAAAAAATTTCTCAATATCATAAAATGCATAGAATGGCCACAAAAGAAGGCATTTTAGTCTAGCTTTTAAATGATACTAGTGATTTGTGCGCGCCCATGAGCGTGTAGACAATCACGGTCTAACCAAAATTTGTCATAAAACAACATGCGTAGACAATCATGATCTAACCAAAATTTGCCATAAAACAGAGTCGATCCTCAGCACAATCTCTAGACTGAATGTTGCGATGTTTGAACATTACATATATATATTTTTTTTAGGGGAACATTACATATATTTTACATAAATGAGTCATAGAACACACGAATAATATAGGTCTTAGTATAGCTCACATAAAGTTCCAATGCCTCTAGGCTGAGATGGTGGAACATAGCATATTATACATAGACAGTCACAATACTTTGCAAATGTGTCCCCAGGGTTAATGATATTATTTAAGGTGTTGTCAAAAAATGATGTTATTTAAGGGAAGTGGCAGCTGCTCTTGAGCTTCTCCTGAACTTGATGGCTGGTAAAGGAGCTTCCAACTTTGATCGCACAAGCTTCCTGGAACCATAGATAAACTCAATGAAACATTTTTCTCTGGCTATAAATCCCAATATAAAACACATTATAAGTTCTAAAGACCATATATTAACCTATTTGATGTTTCTGAATGGTGTATTACCTGAATACAGATGATCTTGACACCTGGGTTTTACATCTTCAGAGACTTTCCAACACCAGATACTGTGCCTCATAACTTCTGTGCCTGTACCCGATACAAATATGCCCACACAGACTATAAATTTCTCAATATATGTAGATAATAGGCAATGTAATTATGATAGCATCTAGAATATAAATTTCAGTGTCCTTAGCACCAGTGTTATGAATTCCAAGTCTTGTATATGATATCATTTACCAGGTCCACATAACATATTAGGCAGGAACAATGTAGAAGCATTCCACACCCTAACAAGAATTTACCATGTTGGGTAAAATAATATAGATTGCAGGATAGACGCAATAAAGATGCATTCCTGAAACCTATGTTACACGGATACTTCCCTGAAGGCACGTATCGCGTATCCGATACGTATCGGATACGGATACGTGTCCGATACGCCTAGGATACGTATCCACCGAGTATCCGGTTTTTTATTATTTTTGTAATATTCGACGATCGAAAGAACACGGGGACGCCTAAGAGGGGGGTGAATTAGGCAACTTAAAACTAACTCTAAGCTATGGCCTCTTTACTTCTTGCAAAACCTATGCAAAAGATAATCCATCTAGATGTATCTACGGTTTTTATTATTTTGATAATAATATGATCAATGTAAATGCGGAAGCTTAAAGACGTAGAGATATGCAAACTCCCGTCGACGACTCCGGTATTTTTGCGAGGTATCGAGTATGCAAGCTTCCCCGATCATCATCCTAAACGACTCCTCTTAGCCCCTAGTCTCGCTGGAGAGCCCTCCAAGGAATCCTCGCAAGGGCCAAGCTCCGGGTAACTCCGTGGATAGCCTCGGGCCTTCCCCCCAGCGCAAGTGGGTCCCGGAAGCAAGCCTCCCGGATGCTCCCCATCACCATATCCGAGACACTGCGGTGGCGCCACACCACAAACGCGGTTGGTGTGATCTCGCAAGACTTCAAGCCCTCCGATGTACAACACTTGTGCTCACAAGCACGGGGTGGCAAGAGGTATGCAAACCTCACTTAAACACTAGGCAAACACCTAGAGCAAGCGATAAGCGATGGTCTAATCAACCTAAGCACTTCGCAAAGCACTTATGCTAATCACCTAATAAAACACTAAGCACTATGCATGTGGAGATCACTCAAATGGTGTATCAACACTCTTGATATGTTTCCTCGGCCCACACACATCAAATGGCGGTTGGGGTTGTATTTATAAGCCCCACCGAGAAAGTAGCCGCTAGGTCGAACTCCCGCATTGCCCTTACCGAATCCCGACGCGTCCGTCGTCCCGTCCGTCGTGAAGCCGCGACCACCGACGACGCTGCCGGCCTCGGACGCGTCTCGCAGATTCAGCGCGCTCGAACCTCCTCTCGACTCAATCGGACGCTGCGTTCCTGCGTCCGGTTCGGCCGCCAGCGTCCGGAGCCTCCGTCTGTCTCGCCGAGCCACCGGTCCATCCATCCGTCGCGCGCTTCGGCGTCCGGTCCGGCGTCGATCGCCTCGCGAGCTCTTCGTTTTTGCGATCTTGCGACGGCTTGGTTCCTATCTTCATGCTTGGACTTTGCTTAGACATCTTGGGTCTTTTCTTGTGCTTCTAAGGTCTTGCTTGAGGTGTTGATCATCGGATCATCACGTCGCCCGTCCAAGTCACGTCTTGCACCCTATTGGACTACAAAACAAACACTTGCAAATTCATTAGTCCAATTTGGTTGTGTTGGTCATCAAACACCAAAATCCAAAGTAAATGGGTCAAGGTCCATTTTCCTTACACGCCCCGAAGACATACCTTATCCCTGCGCTTGGGCTGCAGTCGCGATCGGCGCATTCTCGCAGATCCCCGGCGACCCTTGCGCCCGTCGCGCCACAATTCCCGTGGCCTCCACCGGCCGAGCCTCGCCCGCCCGGATCCAATCCCCTACGGCGCGCATGACATCCCGGCCGCCCGACATTTAACCTCCGCCTCGCTTGAGTCCATACTCGCCTCCGCCTCGAGTCCGACCACAAGGTGCGTGCCTCACGACCCTACCACGCTGGCCTCTCGCCACGGATCCAAGTCGCCGCTCGCCCATCCGGTTAGATCGCTCGAGTCGCGTCGGATCTGGGTCGTCGGTCGGATCTCACGCTTTGGGTTGGTGGCGCCCGGCTCTGCTGCTCGGGCTTGTTCTAATGTGAGGTTCGGTTGGGGCTGATGCGATGAGAGAGTTCCCAGTGTTCGACAGTCGAGGATGCGTTTAGAGGATGGTTACGGCTTAGAGCAGTATTGCTCGATGTGGGAGTGCTGGTAAATGGGCATGCTGGGACTTTGGGAGGAAAGCTTAATAGCTCATGGGTTTTGAATTTTGAGTAGCAGATGGGCTGCGGTGCTTCCTCATGCTTCGAGTTGTGATGCATAGGAATGTAGAGCTCTTGCTAAGGAAAAAGTCTTGTACATTTGGGGTTTAGGACATTTGTGTTGACTGTATTGTGTGTGTGGGTGTTTTTCTTCCATTAAGGAGCTATAATTTGTTTGCCTTCGATTGCATATTGTACTTTCGTAGTTAGTTATGCGCCCTGTCATCGATAATTCAACGTACATGTTATGTGCTGCCCTGAAGCTGTGGATCTGTTTGATCAGAATTGCTTCAATGCTCACTCAGCTTTTATCTTGCTGAGTGCTGACTGATTAGGCGCCTATGCGACCAAATTACAACTTGCTGACTGAGCATAATGCAGCACTGGTGTAACAGTTAATGATGTTGCATTGTTGCTGATAGCTTAATACTGTCAGCACTCTTTCAGTCTTTCACAATTTTAATATGCGCTATTATATATTTTTATTTAAAAAATAGTAAAATGTATCCGCGTATCGGATTTTTGAGAAAATTGCCGTATCTGCGTATCCGTATCCTTCCGATACCGATACGGCGTATCCGTATCCGTGCTGCAACTAATAAGCTATCGGTATGTTGGATAGCTTCTACAATAGCCTGCAGCTTCCGATACCATGAGGAAACTATCATACTTGTCCAGCAACCTTTCCACAATAGCCTGCAGCCACTGTACATCGTTTTTTCTTCCCCAGTGGCCCTTGATTGGATGGCAGTATGTTCATCCAAAGCTTTTGCTGAAAAAAGAAACAGGGCAAAGGAGGTAATGTTTAACACAGTACTTTTAGTGCTATCAACAATTAACTAGTCATAATGCAGGCACCAGGCAGATTACCTAACAGTGTTTGAGCGTAATCAGAGTTGTCAGAAACATCAAACAGGGGTCCAGCACCAAGTACATACGACAGAGCACCATTTAGCTCGGCCAAGTAGAAAAACACCTTAGGGGCAACTAGTGCTAAAAGCTGCCTCTGGACAAACTCCTCGTCTTCGTACAAACTCTCACTGCATGCAGCAGGAAACAAATTGTGAGAAATACAACAAAGCAAAGCACCCAAGCTTATACTGATTGTCAAAACCTTTTACAACCAATGACCAGTATAAAGAGAAAATATTTTGGCCCATGCATATCAATGGCAGCAGCCATGAATAATCTTGGTATTCATACAGATCCTTCTAAAATGAATGTAACTCCTAGGAAATAAACACCAATTCTCATAGCATTTACTCGCTTCTACACTATAGCTGGATAGCTTCTATTGAACTGAGGAGCAACCAATAAGCTAAGGGCAGCTACCACATTAAACAGTATAAACACATGGATCAGTATTACTTTGTGACAGCTTTTTAAAGAGGAAAGTTATCACATTTGATTCATATCCTATCATGACAACCACAATCTAAAAGTTTGGGATTTGTTGTGTTAAACAAACTAGAACCTTGTGAGAAAGTTCAGTTTTTTCAGCAAACAGTATCTATGAATTGGAGGGTGTGAATCATATCATAAGTTCATAACAAGCTCTAAATATGTATTGATCCTTATACCGTATGGCTCCATCGGAGGCTTCTGCGCCTTAAGGATAGTGCATATTTACTTCCGTCATTGTGTTCCACATTGAGCTTTAGGATGCAGATTGTAGCAGGCATACCTCATGTAGTTCTGCACAGAAAGAATAATGACAGCTAATATTTAGGTAGTCCCTAAGATAGGTTTTTATGACCCAGTTTTCTTATAGCTATTCAAATGTCTTTATCCATGTATTTCAGCCTGTTTTATCTTTCACACAAAATTAGGTTTATGATTTGTTCAGAGATAAATGTGCAGCAACACACTGTGGAGCTCAGCTGTCCAAGATTCACATGAATACCTCCTTGATACTATGGAATCTATTTTCAGAATCATCTAATAAAAAAAACAATCTTGTCTTCAGGGGCATACCCAGTGCAGAGAGCTCCCGCTCTGTGCGGGGTCTGGGGAAGGGTGTCAGTGGCAAGCCTTACCCTCGCCTGTGCAATGCGAGGAGACCGCGACTCGAACCCGGGACCTTCCGATCACAGGCGGTAAGACTCTACCGCTTGCACGAGGCCCGCCCTTCAGATGCTACTTAATTTTTCCTTTGATGCTTCCACATTTAGCATCCTGGCCTCGAGTTCATGGAAAAATAGAGCAAAAACATATACAATATAAAATTTATTCATTGCTTTGTTTAGGTGTCTCCAAATACACATAAAGTGTATGTTCAGATCACAGATATCACATATTAGATACAGATAAAAAAGCTCATGTGACTCCATCATGGCCAGAAACAAAATCATGCCCAGAAATCTGCACACAGGCAAGAATAGCACTATAAAACAATTGCAATTTCACAGACTAAATCAAATGCTGAAAACCTGAAGCTCTGCCAAGATGAACCATGAACAAGATTTGGGGCTACTTGCAGGCATCTCTACCAATCGAATTCATTTCACAGACTAAATCAACTACGAATTCATTTCACAGAGTATTTGCAGGCATCTGTACACACTGAATCAATTACTTACCATGGAAGTCGGCGGTGGTGGGGAGGAAATCGGCAGCGGCACGGTGACAGTGGCGAGGAAGCCGGAGGAGGCAGTGGCGAGGAGATCGGCATCTTGCGGCTGTGCTGGTTGCCCCCGCGTCCTTTTACTCCTCTGCCGAGCCGCGCCACCCTGTGCTCTCCGCCGGTGCCGGGTCTGTGTCCATCGGTGGAGAACACGAAGAGGAGCGAGATGGTCGGGTCGGGGACGAAGCGCGCAGCGCCTGGTCGGGGATGGAGAGCCGCACCGCCGGGTCGGAGAGGTGGTGCTCGGCCGGTCCGTGGGGGTGCGCTTGGAGGAGAACCACCGCCGGGCCGTAGGGGTGCGCTCGGAGGAGGACCGCCGCCAGCTTCTTCTTTCGGGAAAGAACGAGAGATTGCGGGAGAGAGATGGAAGAGGAGAGTGAATGGTGACAGGCAGTTTTTTTTTTTTTACAGGAGACAGGCAGATCTGGATCTATGTAAAAAAAAGATTCCCCGTCACATCAAATTTGCGGTACATGTATGAAGTACTAAATGTTGATGAAATCAAAAACTAATTGCACAATTTGGTTGTACTTTACGAGACGAACGTTTTGAGCCTATTAGTCAATGTTTGGACAATTGTTACCAAATAAAAACGAAAAACTACTATAGCTAGAGTACCTCCATGAAATCCGGCGGCGTCGAATTAGGGACCAACTAAACGTGGCCCTGATAGGATAGATTGTGTACCAGGAGGGGGGACCAAAAGTTCGGATTTGTTGGCGCCTATTTTGCCGCTGAGTCCAAAACAGTTACAAGTGCCAAATTTTCTATTTATAAAGCTCATATGATATGTCTATATATTATTAAAAGTAAAAAATAGTTAGGTGACCAAGATAATTAGATTGTGAAGTTTGCAAACATTTGATCTTTTACTTAAAATTTACCGTGGCAGACAAACATATCAGCTCTGGTTTAATATTGGCTATCTATTCGTGACATTCATTTTTTTTTATTTTTGGCTAAACTAATCAAATTGAATGATTTTTTCTAGTGTTGTATAAAATCACTCTTTACTATTTCATTCACTTATATATTGGGAGGTGTTTTTTTTGTGTTTATGACATCACTTTGCATTTGTGTGGTATGCCATCAAGGTGAATGATTTGATTATATTTTTTATTTTCGATTGGATAGAGAAGGCCAAATCTTAAAAATAGTTACAAGTGCCAAAGTTTTTTTTATATGTAATAGCCTATATATATTTTTGTTATGTAGGAGTTTCAAAAGAATCGAATCAATTTCTAGCGAGGCTTAGGTGTGCCATGCAAAAAATGCACATTTTGTGGCCACTAGTGTTTGAACCCATAACCTCAAGGTTTGCATATTCATCTCCTAACCACTCCACCTATAAGAAAATTGTATCCATTTTAGATATTCATCCTCCACATTTTATATTTATCTGGTTTTAAATGAGCATTTGCAACCATAAACGAAATCAAATGAAAAAGTTGCCAACTACAAAGTTTATAACTTTTCGAGATCTACAACTTTGGTTTTGATCATTTATCCATCCAAAGTCGTTTGAAGAATTTGAATTTCAAATGTGAGGAAATTCGGGTGTAGTTTTCCTTGGATAGATGATTTCAAATAAAAAAGTTATGAACTAAAAAGGTGCATAATTTTTCGACATCTACAAGTTTTGTTTGGGTCGTTTCTCCATTCTAGGTCATTTGAAAAAATCAAATTTCAAATGTGAAAATTCAAACGTAATTTTCGTTGGATAGATGATTTCAAATGCAAAAGTTGTCAACTACAATGATGCATATGTTTTTGAGATGCACAACTTTTGCTTTGGTCGCTTCTCCATCCGAGATCATTCACTATGTCTGCGCACACACTTGTGACTATAGAGCATAGGAGTTCCTTTGATATGAACTCTATAAAATCTTGTGTCAAATATTTTGGCATCAAAACGACTTCAAACAAAATTGTAGAAACGTTTCAGATGTAGATTCTCTGAAGAAACGTTTTAAGTGGTGAATGAGAAACACATCATGAAACAATTTGGCTGTTAGGCTGGATTCTATTTCCTAAGTAAATGTTTTCTTTAAAAAATCATATAAAATAGAAATATGCTTCACAAAATCTTGATTATTTATTGGCAAATAACAACCTAAACGCAAGCCATTTAAAAATTGTTGCAATAAAAAAGAATAAGGAAAAAACAATCTCTAGCGCATATGGGGGAGAGTATAATCGGAAACAGCGAAACCCTAATCTATTCATCTCTTTTCCTCGCACTCCTCAGATCATCCCGCCGCCGCCTCCTCAGGCCTTCACCTGTTCCCACAGATCTAGAAGGAAGATGCCAGCAACTCATTCCTCTATCGTTCCAATCCTCCCACCCTCGACACAGAGTGCTACTGCCCCCAACTTCGTCTAAACGATCCACGCCGACAACCAGCATCCGAAGAATCGGCGAAGGGACGTGCAGATCCGTACAAGTCACACGCAGATCCGGCCACATGCGGAGCGCCAGGGGCTGGTGCTGCACGTCATCGAGGCCCGCGGCCTCCGGGAGCGGACAAATCGGCGGTGAGCTCTCCCCTCCTCCTTGTCCCGCGCCCTCAGGTACACAGCACGCACCATCGTCCACCGCCCGGCGCCCACCACACGTTGCCTACTTTGATACAGTTGTCTCTGCCACCAAGGGGGCTCAACGTGGCCTGGATCCGGCATGCCGCGGCCGGGGTCTGTAGACCGCGGTGGGTGTGTGAACTGGGCCAGAGCATCTCGGCCTCCGTCTCCGATCGAGATGGGGAGGCACGGGTGGGCGGCTCCGTGTTTGCGGTGCGGATGCGGCGGCTAGCCAGCGGAGGGAAGTGGCGCTGGCTGCCTGGCTCGGGCCTGGGCGGAGCGGATGCGGCGATGCGGCGAGCCGGCGATGCAAGCTCAGGCCAGGGAGACGCGGATGCAGCAGCAATTTCTCCGGCCAGGGAGGAGCAGATGTGGTGGCGGAGTACCTCCGATTCCTCGTCGACAGCAAAGCACATCTTCCAGATGCTCGAAGCCATCGTTGGACGCGTCATCGTCCTATGGCGTGAGTGATCGCTCTCCGCTTTTTTAATTTCTCTTCTATTATTGTCTTGATTGGTGGAAAAATTAAAGGTGCGGCCCTTATGTGATGCTAGTAAGTGCATGGCGGTGTTTCGTGTGCCTCTATTGAATCGATGAAATTTGATTGGTTCGCAGCAAGGAAAAATATGCGTTCTCTACTCTTGTACTGATTTTGCATCTCATAAATCCCTAGACATTAGCAATGTCGATTCAGTGTCATATGATCATACCATATTGTATTACTGTTTTTGGTCTAAATGAAGAAACTCAAACTTGACAGTTCAAAACCATTGGTTCTTCTGAACTGTACTGCACTCCATTCTGAGCTGTGGTTCCACTGTTTATGTAGTTTTTTTTAAAAAAAACTTTAGCAGTAGTAGTACTGCACTTCTGCTATTTCATTAGAGTAAGAGTGCCAGGTAACAGATTGTAGTGACTGAAAATACAAATAGAGATCGTTGGCACTTGCTGAAAATACAAACTCTGACAAATGCTAATGACAGAAATACAAGAAGCTAACATATGCTAGTGACCAAAAAATTCAAGAAGCTAACAGATTCTAGTGACTGAAAATACTGATCGATAGCACTTGAAAATAGTAAAATACAAAGAAGCTAACTGATGCTAGTGATGGAAAATACAAGAAGCTAACAGATGCTTGTGACCGAAAATTCATGTGTGATTAGAAGTGTTGTGCAGGTAAGAGATGTGATTAGAAGAGATGTCCTTGGGTCTAGAGTAGTAGAGTTTAAATTGTAGGTCATAGGGGATTGACAACTTCGGTGAACTTTACTGTAAAATGGTATTTGTAACTGCATATGAAAGGAATATGTAAACAATATGGGTCAAATTAAATTTGTGCCTTTGTACTGTCCCTCTACTGAACAACATATGGCTGTATATACTAAAAAAATGTTTATCTAGATTGTACTGCACTGTTCCAATGGGAACTTTTTACTGAGTTCCATGTCCTCTTTGTTCAAATACATTCCATGTTTAGCATCATGTCTTAAGATCGGGTGTTGGGAGAAGAGAAAGCTGGACAAGTGCACGGCATGGGATTGCTTCGAGTTCCTAAACAAGTTTATGGTCGAAAAACACACCATTTTAAGGACATTAATATAGTTTCACTAGATGGCTCATCATCTGACGTAGAGACTCACATGTTGGAGGAAATAAGGCAACTTAAAGAGCATTCTAGAATGCAAGACAAAGTTACTGAAGAACTAAAAACAATCAAAGGCACCATGAGAACTAAGAAGCAACAGTGGTAACAATGTACATTTTAATTTGTAACTTCGTATTGAAATGTGTTACTCAAACTTTATTTCTTTTCCAGAGAAATTGTGCTAGGAGTGATCATAACAATTCTCAGAATCAAGCGGTGCTTTCTAAAAGAAAGGTATTTGGTCTATTTTCTATGTTTTCACCTAATTTAGTCTTTTGGCTTTAATATTGTTTCAAATTTTTAGAGAGTTCACTGTGTTGCACCCAACCAGAATGATGGATTCCTTGAACACAGGGATGAATTGGTAAAGTCACTTTGTTGTGAATTTAATATTATTTTATTCACAAAGGATTTTTTTATATTAACTCATGCTACTGTCTTCTTTCTCTTTACTAGAATAAAGAAACATGTGAGTCTGAATATAGTGATGATGACAGTCTACTTTTATCCACCACAAGTAAAACAACAAAGAAACAAAAGATATCTATGAACCACACTTTGTTGTATTTATAGAGGAATTTTTGTCTTAATATTTCATACTTCATTTTATATGTGTAAGGGTCATCATGGAGGGCCTGGAGAGACTACGACCATTGCACACCAGGAGGTGGCTCATGACAAGGTTACATGCAACAAGCGTCAAGCACCTAAACAACTTCCTGTAATGAAGGTAGATGAACATAATACACTTGTTCTAATTGCATAATCTTGATGTACAACTAAGGGTTGTTGGTCACTAAGAGATTATGTCAAATTAATGTAGGTTGGGTCCATGGTGCTACTAATGACTTCAAAATATCCTAATAAGGCTAATGTGGCCTATGTAACTTTCTTGAGCACTGCTCTAGAAGCCATTGTTGGTGGAGTTAAGACAGGAAGTCAATTCTACAAAGTGCGTATCGATCATGCTATAGCAAAAGATGAGCCATTAGTGAGGCATAGGCCTGGGTGCAACAATATTGGTGATGCTCAAGCCAAATGAGTCTCAATTGCTTGGCCTTCAATGTTTGTATGTTCAAACTATCTTTCTTAACTTATATTATTGTACATATGTGGCCTAATTTGTAATTTTACAACTTATATTTTCTTTGCAGGTTCAAATAATTAATGGTTGAATTCCTACATCGATGTGTACTTGAATTTTTCTTTCTAGCATGGACTATGTGTGTTTGCTCTCTAGAGCTATATCGTTATGTACAAATACTATGATTTAATCTAAACAAGCACTATGTTTGAAATCATCATATTATATATGGATCTTGTTATGATTATTGAAATTTGTGGTTTATGTGATTTTGCAATGTGTCATGTTTGTGTGATTCTATAATAATCCGTGTGCCACATATATAGGCGAAACAAATATTTGTTTCCTAATCTGAATATGTTACAATAGATATAAACAAGTGTTACAAACCAAGTGTTCCTTTGTTCCATACTGTAAGCAATCACTATAACACTAGGCAAATGTTCCCATAGATAAATATATGTGTTACAAACTATGTATTCCATCATAATGTGAAGTGTTACTAGAGAAAAAAAGTGTTACAGCAAAAATTATTGTAACACTAGACAAATGTTCCTATAGACAAGTAGATGTGTTACAATAAACCAGTCTATAGTAACATGGCCGATTGGAACACAAAAAAATGTGTTACTAAAAGAGCTAGTAACACTTTTTTCAACCTATTGTAACACAAGTTGGTGTTACTATATCCCTGCGCTGTAGTAGTGTATAAGATAGTTATCGATCCTTGTCTAGTTCAAGTACGGCTGCATCGGTTAAGTTCAACCTCCACTGCTCGAATTAGATTAAGGTCAAGTTATCAGCTCTACCTAAGGGTGGCATCCTTCTGGTAGATTCATTAAGTTACCGATCTTGCTAATGTTCTTGTTGTCATTAGTTTCAGCAACATTAACCTGCCCGATCAAGATCGATCTAGATCGACCTTACATCCTTTTAGTCCATCGTTTATTTTGTCACATTGCGATTGTTCTTACTTTAAACGACGGATTATGTTTTATCGGCCGTTCTACTTTGATCTTGATCGTGCATAGTACGTGGTCAAGGCATGTCTAATCTTGAGTAGGTTTACTAGCTAGTTGAGTCTGGTCTATAGCTCGCTATTATGGCTGTAACGATCCGGTCGATCCCCACTGCTAGCACTTTAAATCGGAGTATGCTAGCTGGTAGATTTGCTTTTGACCAGGCATGACCTTGGCTGTTTGCTATGCCTGCATTAGCAAAATAGCCGATTGCCCGTACTTTAATGCTTACAGTGTGTCTTCATGATTCTATTAGATGTGAATAGATCTGTTAACTTTAAAGGTTTGATCTGTTATTTTTATCGTGGCTGCCATCGATCCGGTCGAACCCCACTGTTAAGGACAATATGTTAGATCTGATGAGTTTATAGATCTGTCCATGTTGAGTAGTCGATTGTTTACATGTTGTAATCCCTTTTCTACCTGAATCGGCTATTTTAGCTGATTTGCCTGTGCTTTCACAGATATGGCACGCTTTCATGAATCTGTTGACGTATAGTTAATTTTATGGATTTTCTGGCTTTAGATTATTGTCATCATCATAGCTGCATCGATCCGGTCGAACCTCACTGTTGGTGGTAATGAATTAGATCTAGACAGTTCATAGATCCCTTTATATTCAACAGTCGATTGTTTACATGGTATATCCCTTTTTACCTGATTTATTGGCTTTACACCACGTATTGATCAAATCTAATTTAGCCAGTGATGTATCTCTGACGCATACATGCTAATAGCTTAAGGGAAAGGATCATTAAAACTAGGCGCGTTGCATTCGTTACTATAAAATCAATCATGACACGCGAGCATTACAATTCTTAACAGCCGATTTCTTGTCGTTTCGGCTATTTAGTCAATTTTCCTGTCTGGCTATTCCTGAAGTGGCACACTTAGAACTGTCTGGGCAAAACCAGCACATTCCACCCTAAATTACTGATAAACTTTTTCTCCTTATCAATTGTAGGTCAAATTGACTGGCACACCCTTGAAAATTTGTAGGATCGACTGCTCCTGCATTGAAGCCAGGCAGATCTCCAGATCATTCCAGCTTGCTGCGTGTCCACTCAGCGTGGCTACCATGTTTTCACGCCGACACGCGTTCTGGCATGCCTAGTGGGACCCCACAATCGTCATGGCAACTCACAACAACAGGGACATCCTTATGGTGTCTTATGAAGACCTACCTAATGAGGATAAAGATGTCATTAGTAAAGCTATATAAGAATTTTAGAACAAGTGTTTGTTGTTCTACACCAAGACACATGACAATAAAGTTGTTAAGAAATATCCACTACCAAAAGTTTTGATGTATGGAAAGTCAGATATAGACAAAGCTGATGATAGACGTTTCTTCGTAGATGTTGTAAACAAATCTGTACATGATGCCATGTTGAACCATAATACAGCTTTCTTGAACGCATTGCACAATACCATGAAAGAGGTGTTTCATGGATATCTAATTGATCAGGTTGGACCGGCTTATTATAACATTCCACATCCGTCGACCCAATGGACTAATCATGCCGGTACTAGCCATCAAGAAGCAGCACTAACTGGTAATGATGATGTCCAGGCAGTTCAGAGCTCATCTGAGCAGGTTCAAGGTACCACTACTAATCAAATACAAAATAATCCTAGATCATCAGTCCAGTATGTGCAACAGCCGACGGGGCAAGTTTAGAATCAAATGGTTAATTTTGGCACATCAGGCCAAATACCGTTGTCGACTCAAAAATAGCACCATCACTTCAAAGGATTCGTAGAGATACAGATCCCAATATCTACAACTAGAGACTTCAAGCAGCGAATCAACAAAGGACTCAATAGATAGAGATTTCACAAGGATATCATTCTAGAACAGATTACAATACCCTTCATATGATTCCAAATCTGGGGTATCAAGGTACCCGAAATTTTAATCCGCAGATGGGTCAACAAATGGAGAGAAATCCAGATTCAAACACTGATAAGTTTTTGCTCAGAGTGACCGAGATAATGAAGAATCAGTTTGGTTTGAAACCAAAAGGGCAGACCTTTTGGTACAAATGTCCATATCCAGAGTGGTATGATTTGGTCCCTCTTCCTACAAATTATAGACTTTTAAAATTTGCTAAGTTCACTGGTCAAGATAGCACGAGTACAATAGAACATGTCAGTCGGTATCTTACACAGTTGGGCGAACATCCATCAAAGAGGCTCATCGAGTTTGTTTCTTCTCCTTGTTCCTGTCAGGACTTGCCTTCATTTGATTTTCATCGTTGCCAGTTAATTCCATTGTCAATTGGACTGACCTAGAGAAGAAGTTTCATACATATTTCTATACTAGGGACAGGGGAAAAGAAAATTATAGATTTGACAACCATAAGGCAGAGAACTAATGAATCGGTGTCGAGTTTCTTCAGAGGTTCCGAGAGACCAGAGATTTATGCTTCTCATTGAATCTAACTGATGTTCAGCTAGCTGCTTTAGCTGTTCAAGGAATGTTACCAACATGGAGGGAGAAGCTGCTTGGGCAAGAGTTTGACAATTTAGGTCAATTGGCTCAACAAATGGCAGCACTCAATAGCCAATTCCAGAATATGCGCAGAGATGCCCGATTCCAGAAGAGTGCCGCAATTGCCGAAGCCTATAATCCATATTCAGTTGATGATGGTGATGAGGATGAAGAAGAAGAAGAAGAGATTGCTATGGCTGAATGGAATTGGGGGTAAGAAAACAGTGAATGGTGCCAAATCCATGGGGAAAAGGAGTTGAAGAGAGCTATGATTTCGACGTCACAAAATCGGACAAGCTCTTCGATTTCTTGCTTGAGAGGGGACAGATCAAGTTGCCCACCAATCATGTTATGTTACCTCCTGATCAGTTGAAGAATAAGAAGTTCTACAAGTTTCATAATGCTACTTCTCATTCTACTAACGAGTGCAGAATTTTCCAGCAACATATACAGAGGGCTATTCAGCAAGGGAAGCTTAAATTTGATATGCCTCGGAAGATGAAAGTTGATGGTAATCCTTTCCCAAGAGATTAGAATATGGTCGATGTTAAGTTGCTCAAGGGGAAGACTAAAGTCCTAACATCAACTAGGGCCAAAGAAACCAGAACCGTCGATCCAAAGATACAAATATCGGCTGATGAATATAAAGAGATTAAAAGGCGTCATGATCAACAGAAGAGCCGATATGAGCAGGGAGAGACGTCAAGGAATGGGGTGATAAGGCCGCGTGTCACATCTCGAATTTTGTTGAATAAATGGCAACGATAGAAGGAAAAGGATTATCAGCGTTGCTTAGAAGAGAAAGAATACCAGCGTCAACAAGAAAAAAAGAGGTATGAAAGAAAGCAAGCTGAATCACATTGGAATTGTCTTTTCTTCAGACATTGTTGGAATGAAGGTTTGAAATTGCCTACTAGAAATAATTGCCTAGAGTGTAGTGAGCAATATTGGGAGTTTAGGCAATCTCAAGTCAACCGCCTATCTATCCATGCTCGAGATGAGTATCATCATAATAATATGGACCGGCGCTTAAAAAATAGAAGTGTTCATGATCGGCTTGGGAAGCGAGTTGTTGATCAAAACTGGGCTGATTATGAAGAAGAAGATAATGAGGAAGAGTATGTTTGGTAGGAAGGGCAATGGTGTCCATGAGGTTTGACAAGAAGCCAAAAAAGAAGGGTGCAACTCCTAAGGAACAGAGAGCTAGAACAGGCTCAGTCATCTAGTAGACCTCAAGTGTGGCGTGCTAAACAAACAGCCGATAGGGGTCAACCATCGGCTAATATTTAGATGCCTTTTCTGTTGCCGCCAGAATTTAGAGCTCCAGCAGATCAAGAAGTCTATTCAGATTTTGATGAATTGGAGTATGAGGAGATAGTTGCCAAGTTGACAGTTATACAACAAGCTATATTTGATAAGCCAGTCAAGCATCAGCACTTAAAGGC